TATTAGGCATGCACCGATAGGATTTTTTTGGCCGATACCGATTTTAACAAGCAACTACTGACCAATACCGATATTGGTCATTTGCATAAAGTAGGGGTTAAAAACCAGAAAAAAAAAACGATCGGTTCACTCCGAGCAGAATTGGTATTTGAACGTTTCTGTTCCTGTGTTCCTCTGTATTATTACCGCTCCGAAACCGGTTTGAGTAGAAAAAATACTGGTTAATAACGTTATTTTAAAAACTTTTTCTTTGCCTGTAATAATAATAATAAAGTACAGCGTTTTCTTTGCTCAAAAAAAACACGAGGGTCTTGATCTGGTAGCCTATCTTGTGCTTCGTCATAGCCAATACAGCATCATTTTTTCTAGATTTTGACCAAATGCATTAAACAAAAGAAAATACTGTCAACGCTTTAAAGACATTAAAGCAGGCCTATTTTTTCAAGATATTTAAAAATGTTTGCAGCATGGATAAAAAAATGCTACTCCTATAAGCGTTTTGAGAGGAAAAAACAGCCTAAATTAGTAGGATGTATGTCGCATTTTATTATGAATATATTATTATTATCATTCAGAAATAATGTAGGCTAAAACACCGGTAAATAAAGCAAAATATTTACAAACATTACAAACACAATTAGGCTATTTTAGTTCCCTTCTCTCCACAACAAATCCTCTAATGTTGTAAGCCAAAACGAATTAATTTAAAAGTGAAACTAAAGCCTACCTCTCTCATTCTGCACGAATCCACAGGTTTCCATATTCATGACGTATCTGGATGCTAAAATATTATTTATTATGTAAACTATAGGCTTTGTTCTTCACTCCCATTTTCGACATAAAACCTCATCCTTTACATAGGCTATATCAGCAGTGAGGCGCTGGTTATGCTGAATGGCACAGACTGTACTACAGAGTATTTAAATTGAGCAGTGTAACTTTTTATGTTTCTTTAACTGTATTTTATTTTGATAATGAACAGGCTGCGATGTCAAGTTAGCAAAAATATGTTGTATGTGCGTGTGAGGCACTAACGTGATTCAAAACTGTAAAGCTTTTGCAAAATAAAGAAAACTGCTTTCCTTTCCATGAACTTCGGAGCGCGTTACAAACTCAGCACAATTCCAAACTCAGCACAGTTTTTTCTTTCGTTTTGTTAATCTGTTAATGATTTAAGTGAAATATATTTAGTGTATAGGCCTATATATTCCTTTTTATGTAGCCTATATAGTTTTATTCCATTTTCTCTGTTCACAGAAACGCTGCAGGTGCATGATGTGACCTTGTGTGAA